CAAAATTTCATCTGAATGACAGACCATTTTTTCGATGTTCTGGAGAAATGACTGGTTTTAAAATGATTTCGGCTGATACAATATTGGGGAAAAAAACGTACGTCCCCCTGTTTCTTCTTTCGATTGATGAAAACCGCAGGTTTCTAGCTGATTTCGTTTTTGGGTTATTCAAAAAACAGCGGAGGGTACTATATTTTGCAATGGATATTAGTTAGTTTATTGTTGGAAGAAAAATTTAGGTGTAAATAATTTTTACTAGTACCAAAAAAAACTACACAAATTACTAATCTGATTGATATGGTTAGAAGTTAATCTATGATCGATTCCATTCAGAGAAATCTTGATCATTACTCTGTACATTGATCATAGAAAAAAAGTGCGAATCACAAGAATAGCGATTCTTCATCGGACTATTTTTATTTCGAGTGGAAAAAGAATAATTGATTGGTAGTAAAATGTTTCAAAATGTATATGTCAAAAACATTAATATAGAAAACAGATATGAATATTGTTTGGTAAACAAATTGACGTAGATCAGCCAACATGGTAATAGACAAAGTACACCATTTTCTTCTTGATGAGTTTGTTGGAAAAAATTGCAGTCGATGACAAATTTAGTTATCTTTGCCATCTCATGTCCTCATCACTATTAAGTATTGCTAACGATGATGTTAATACTTTCATTCTCTAAATAGATCCGTGACATTCAATGGCATCATGATCTACGACAATTCTTCATTTTACTCGATAGAAAACTGATTCTTTTCGATCCAGTGACTCGAATTTTTCAAGAAATCACCCGAATAACACCATATCAATCCAATACTTTTCGTCGATGCACTTGTAGAAATGATTGTCTATTCATTTCCTATTGGTGTCAGGAGAGTGCCATCGAATTAATTCAGATTAGTTCTTGGACTTTTCAGCAACGATGGTGGAGTCCTGTAACGTGTCATGCAAATGAATTCATCACATGCATTCAACTGAATTCAAAGGATCAACTTGCTTTGAGTATTCAAGATGAAACCAATCCACTCAATCGACAATTTCGCTTCGAACTTCGAGATCTCACTCTTAATACTCTGCGTACTATTTCCCTTGATACGAACTCGGGTATTTTCTCACGTATGACACCGTTACCCGATGGTTCCTGGGCTTTGTTGAATGTGGATAACAATATAGTTGTCATTCTCGATGAACAAGCTCTAGTGATTGACAAAATTGGCTGTTTTCATGAACCATTACATAACATCGCTTTGATTGGTAAACATACCATTGTAATTCGTGCCGTCAACAAGCTTCTCTTCTATGATGTGGAATTTGGTGAAGAAAGGCAAGGACAATAGACATGATGTGCTAAGAACTGATTTGATGTACAATGATTATTCGGTTTGTTTTCGTAATGCAATATATTGGCTTATTCAAAAAAACTTTTTTTTTCGAAGAGAAAAAACAGTGCATATTATTTAGCTTCCAATGGATTCATCCGAACTTGTTTTCTCAATTATATTGAATTGTATATGGAGGATTAGTTGATCGGATTAGACGAGAGTAATTATTTTTTTTGCTAAGAAAAAAAAAACAAATATAGAAGCACTAGTAAAATAGTTAAAAGAAAGATACTTTCTAAGTCAACACTTTTTCACTTTTACAGTGAACAATCATACAGACGATAGGTCTTTATATCTCTTTCAGCTATTATTGTCTGCTTACTACATTTTTCACTGATTGATATTGATGAAAATATCAAGAAAGTTGAGTACAACAGTCGTTTCATACTCATACGAACGATTGATAGACCGAAAAGCTAGAGTGTCATATTCAACACATTTTTGAGATTGACTTGAGCTTGAGGATAAACAGAAAATCCACATCCACCTTTTTAAACCATTGAAGAGTTTTTAAAATATTTTACGAGAACTACGTAATTGATTCATACTGAAAGCAAAAGTTTTCTAACTTTCGAATAATAAAAAAAAAATATTATTCTATTTTAGATGTGTTTCAGAAGTGAATCATTCCAGCATGATTTTATTAAATCAAAATCTAATTTGTTCAACAAGTAACATGCTTTTAGTAAGATACTAGAAGAATATAAGAGATGACTTGACATGTAACATCGAGATGTTTCACAAAACCAACTTTTTTTCTTAATGCAAAACTCAATTTTGATGTTTGTCAAGAAAAAACAATTTTGAATTTGCTGTACTTGTGTAATTCAGTTGCCTTTATATGTTCAATGTCATTAATAGTTACATAGAAATTTCGTCAGAGTTTTTTTATGCTTCTTTGACGCCAGCGGACGTCTAGATACATACGTATTATGTCAAAGGTATCTTTCAGCCACGATCAGACTGAATAAATGAAAAAAATACTAGTCATTTTTTTCCAAATTGTGTTACGTTCCCAGAGGATTGGCTGAATATGTTATGTGAACATCGATTATTAGTTCTTACCGTTTCGCTGAGATTTCTCACTACACAGTTACTAACTTTCAACGATGAAGATAAGAACAAAATAAAATACGTTTTTTATTGACTACTAGTGGATGTTTGACACAGCAAACAGCTTGCGTGAGCGGATGCGTACGAAATGCAAGAAATATAAGGAGGCGTTACCGGTAATATCCAATTGAAATCAAATCTACATGATACTATTATTCGATTTATTCGATTAAGTTTGTGCTTCAGAAAGTCTCGCGCGTCGCTTTTACAATGGCGTAGTCTGTTATATGATATTCGAGCATTATGATACAAGATAAATATGATTGCTGTCATTTTCTTTCTTTTACAGAACACAGTATTCTTTAGATATGTTTCAAACACCGTCATCGATTGACTCACAAGAAACATGCGTCGATCAAAAAACAGAAGTGATATTGTACAAGTTGATGCCATCATACCTTGGTCGAATAATAAAGACTGCATATGGTGAACAGCTGATATTTCAACTAGATATTTCTTCAGATATCATTAATATCTACCTTCCATATGTCTTATCTGCCTTTCCAGCGCCAATAACAATTACGGATCGAATAAAACGTGACTTCGTTTATTCAGAAGCCATAATATCCGCGTCACGTTCTCAACTAAATGGCGAAATGCAGAACCTTTCTTCCTTCGTATCAGCAGCTGATTTCTTCGAGCAGTTGTTACCAAAACAGATGAGCATGGTGCGCTTCAATATGGTCATTCTTGGCGATCATATTGTTCTTGCTCGCATTCCTCAGACTTATAAGTTGCCCTATTATCTTCTGTGCAAGCACATCACATTAACCGATCATTCAATAGATGTACGATTTGCAGGTGAATTCTGGCGTGACGAGGACGCAAGTTTTCGACTGAACAACAATTCAGGCACCTATAGGCCATCCAAAAGACTGATCGAATTGACTGCTGCTCTTTTCAATCATTTATTTCCTTTCTTAGAAGTTCAAGGAGTTTCATGGGAAGAAAGTGCTCGTCCTCCTACTTTCGATCGATTCAAACTAAAAATAAAACAGAAAATAGTTTGTGAATAGGGGTGTGGGTTGAGAATTGGAACAAAGTGTATTTTCTTCGGCACTAAATTTTGAAACAATATCGTAAGATTCATATCTGATCAAAGTAGCTACTGAAGAGGATGAAATTTTCTCCAGCAGTTACTCTTGTCGAAGCTTCAATTGTGCCGAGTTAAAAATAAAACTCGAAAATCAATTTTAAAGATGACCTAAGGAGGACCATAGGATCGGTAAAAAATTCAGTATGCTCATGTTATCTTAGAAATGAAGGCCCATGAGCACGAATCTTCTTTAGGTTGCTCTAGTCTCACAATCAGCTACCTAGGCGTAAAATATGAACTCAAAAGAAATGGAACATCTCGAGGGATTTCCTCTTTAGTTGACTTATGCTCAAATTCTAAATATGAGATCTTTTATTTTGATTGGTAAGAAATGTAAGCGGAAATACTTATGTTGGATGCTTTTCCTCTAGCGAAACTAATGTCCGCGCCAGAATAAAAGAGGGGTGAGTGTAAGCTCAATAACTCGACAACCGCAATACCTAGCTACCTGCGGTTTTCACCAATCGAAAGAGGAGGAGCGGGTACGTCTTTTTCTTTGATAATGTGTAAGACGAAATTCTTTTGAAACTAATGATATTTGAAAAACATACAAAACAACTCATGAAAATGACCTGTCAGCTAGATGAAATTTTGATTTTGACCTTCAATTTAGATAGACGTACTTGAGATCTATAGCTCAAGACACAATGCAAATGAATGTCTTACTACATTCTAACGTTGAGCAAATGGAATCATGTACCTACATGCGCAAATAATAGGAGATTTTGCTGATTTTTTTACTAAGTTTTCGCACTTTTATCCGAGTAGCTTGACATTTCGATGAAAATGTAAGAAAAAGTAAGAAAGCGCATTGTGTCTTGAACTGTAGATCTCAAGTCCCTCTATCTAAATCGAAGATCAAAAACAAAATTTCATCTAGCTGACAGGTCATTTTCATGAGTTGTTTTG